TGTGCTTGTTGTGCAGATTACGCTGCTCTAATAATTGAAAATCCATTCAAGGCCGGCCATAAATTCTCAACAGCGTTAACCGAAATTATCCGTCTTCACTTGACAGCCTGAGCTTCTAAATGCATATTAAGGCTGTCGTGGGGAAGCATGAAGAGCCTCCAGTCACCTTGAACTGAGGTCAGTATGAGAAGCAGCTCATCGTCAGGCTTCTGCACTGATCAGGAGATGCTGATCGCACACCTGGGCCTGACTGTCAGCCTCACATTCATGAAATAAAAGCACAAAGTGAAATACAGACAACCAAATATGAGGAGAGACGGGCTTCAGTGGGATGTCTTTCACTTCATTCTGCACATATAGACCGTCTATATGGGACTGACGCGTGAGAAGAAGCATCGAGGTGCTTCTGTGTTCTCATGCTCGCCTCAACAACCTGATAATAACTGAGTAAGTGTGATTTTCCCAGTGGTGAACCCCCTCCACCACCTCCCCACCCCCATCCTCACACTCACACACACACACACTACCTCAAGCGGTGCTACATGTTGATTGGCTGCTGGTGACATCATCGCAGATTGCACATAACAGGCCCCTTGGAAGGTATGACTTCACTGTTTATAACTGATGAGACGGAAAAGGCAGCGAGAGAGCCGAAGACATGGAGAGGAGAGGCAGCGCTCCCACCGCCGCCTCCCCGTCAGGGATTAGCTCATTTACAATCAAAGACCCGGGGGAGGACACCGCGGCAAGGTAAAACCACAGAGGTGCACACGCACACACACACACACACACACACACACAGACACACAGACACACAGACACACACACACACACACAGCATCAGGAGTGTGAGGGGAGGGTATGTTTGCTGGGTATTGGTGACTGTAACACGCTGTACTTTAATATTAGCCCACGCTGTCATGTGAAGGATCTCTGACCCGCTGCTCACATGGACCAGGAGGTCAGCTGCAGCCATGCTCAGGGTTTCCTTCCCTGGAGAGTCATTTGTTCATTTCTACATGCTGTAGATGCAGCACAATAACAATAAAGCATAAAAACAATAATAAAAGCTCACTGCAGATAGCGCCTGTCTCCTCTCACTGCTGTTGTGCAGCTATCAGGAGGTAGCTGTAGATGAGCAGCAGGGTCAGAGTGGACTCTGTCACACCACAGAGCAAGAAGAGGACACAACGAGATGATGTCATTGGGTTAGAAATGTGGCATTCATTTGTCTCTCATGTGCCTCCTCATTTGTCTCCTCATCAACCTCCTCGTAGTGCCTAAAACCAAACAGTACCGCCTGTCCATCCACTAGCTTCACCTGCTTTACGCTGAAGAGGGTTTCTCCTCCAGGCAGCCATGGACAGGGTGCACCACAGGGCCGACGCAGACCGACAGCCATGCCGGTTCAGAGTCACCGTTTAACCTGCCACACGTCTCTGGACAGTGAGGAGAAGCCAGAGCAGCTGGA